ACCTACACTCCCTTAAAATACCAGTCGGGATTGTCATCGGGATCTATAATCAAACTGTATTGTCCTTCAATTAGCAACTTGGTATTTACAAACATCATACAAACAAAATTAATGTTTAGTCAAAGCATCATTTAAAATAGAAAATAAAAGTTGCAATTTTCAATATTCCTCTGTACTCTCTAGGCATTTCTATTTTATAATAACTTCATTAAAATCAAATGTATTGGTACAATTATACTGTTACCGAGATTAACAGTTGTTATTACACAAATTGATACCAAAAACTTTCTGTATCTTTGTAAATTATTATTAGAATTAAAATGCACAAAAATAAAATATGTTTACACCTACATAATATACCTATTTTTGGTTTGTACTTGACCGTTTTGTGTTTAAAAAAACAGTCTATCATACCAACAATTATAATTAAGTTATGATATAAACACTGAAAATATTCCAATGAGTCACTGCAATTTTCAGACAAAATATTGTCTTCAATTGCAAACACACCATGTTGTATGTACTTAAAGTTGCTGTCGCCAGAGAGAAATACAATAAGCATTTGCTCTGCTTATCAAACAATTTCTGCGACAAATGTAAATATTCTATATCTTTAAACTCGTATTGAAAACCGATCGAACATCTGCCAGTTAAAATTTTTAATCTCTTATAAATTGTTATGTTGCTACTGCAAAAATTTGTACCTATATGCACAATATTGAAACAATAAAGGATTCAGTACTTAAGTACTAACTCGTCATTCAATTTTATTCCCAAAAAGTGAATTTTAAGAAGTAAAATAGATTGATATTTTGAATAAATCATAAAAGCTTCCAGCAGAAATTAAAAAAAATATTGTTAGGTATGTGAAGGTTATATTTATTACGTTTTTCTTGTTGTTTTTTTTTGTTATTTATATTTTAAGCTACTAATTTTTCACATTTGACCTCTTGTTATTTAACAACCGAGATCACAATTATTACTTTACTGATACATGCTTAATATAATACAACATGAGGTTGTGATATGTGGTTTTCTAGCTTTATTAGGCTCTCACCTAGGTAGGTATGTAAACGAAAAATCAAACAGAAACAAAGATTAAACTCTAGTTTCTTAAAAATTATAACAAAGCAAATTCGACAATGGAGTTTGCTTTTGCATAGTTACTAGCAAAACTGAAGATAAGAATTACTTAAATATAATTTCATCTCATTGTCAGTCAATATTTACTTGACCCCAACATGGGTTCCTTCCCATTATAAACGTGGTACACAACGACCATTGTGGAATCGTTTATTAATTATTACAAAAAGAATATAATTCAAGTATGCGCGGTGCAACGGTCGACTTTCTTTATTCAGGCGCTGTCATTATTAGAACATTTCGCTAATTAGGACCTTAGAAAATGTACTATAATATATTTAAAAAAACATGCAAATGCATGCAGTTCGTTACTAATAAAAAATTTATTGATCTCTATTATGCACATGATCATAAACGTAAGTTATCTTTAGTGTTTTGTGTCAAAAAGTATTTAAAAATTTTACTTTCAATTAAACTGATATCAAATATAAATGATAAAACGTTAATGTGAGTAAAAGTAATAGATATTAAAGTTATCACAAAATGCGCTTGCTTACTACATATATCTCAATGAATATTAAATCGTCAAACCGTAAATAAAATGATACGATATTGTCCTGATTTCTCACCGACTCGATACAGTTTCTCTTCGTTATTACTTGTTCTGTAAATTTTAATAATTATGGAATCGGAATATATATATTTTTTTGAAATAAACATTCATTACAGTCACATCCTGATGTGCGTGTATGTGTCGATATATATTTGTGTATGTCGTTGAAACATCATCATGGTCTCGAACTCAGTAACGGTTCAAAGTCTGAGCAGAGGTCATAAGGCCATTTTACAGACTTGTGTTGCTCAAGAATATTAGAAAGATTTTATAAGCTTCTATATTTCAATATTTTGATGTTATTTAAATATTTACACTACACTCTCACCAACCAAAACGGACGTACATAACGACGTTTGTTTGAATCTGTTGACCAACCATTGAAAGTAAACAATTTTTGGAAAATATTAAAATTTATATTATCAACCGAATCCCAAATATTATCTTCTTATTATAAAACAAATAATATTAGAAACTAGAAAACTACAATGTTTTGGTTTCAATTTTGAACTAATCTTCTATTTCTAATCTTGTCTTAAGAGATAATAATAATCAAAACTCATTCATTACTATAAAATAATTTTCTATTACTCTATAATTGAAGTATTACCTAAATGAGCATTATTTTTGTTCTAAATAAAAACAAATAGAAACTGTTTAAAATTCTAATACAAAAACACTCGACTTGATCCTTTTTCAATTTTAGTTGATGATCAATTATGAGATTTGCATAGCACGTCCAAATTTTCGACATTAAGAAAGTCAATATTGTTCGAAACTATTCAATGTCCATTGTCAATTTGCCAAATATAAAAACCGTTGAATGACATCGTAAAAATCGTTTATTACTACGTTAGTAAAACGATTCAAAACACATAAGTTGATATACACAACGTCGATATTATTTTATATAACTCGACTTCGTTTTTGCCATTAGCTTTGGAATTTTATTGCAACAGTTTTTCGAAACTATATAGCTCTTTGCGCAGTTAAAAAAATATGTAATTTAATGGGTCACGATCAGACATACTACAATAATATTGGAATCGCAACAAATAAACAATTTTCTTTGTCTAGACTTGAAAGAAAATTTTGGGTTTTACTGTTTTTTTTTTTTAATTCAGTTCCACAGAACTCAATGTGATTTTCTTACACAAAATACAAAATACTTATTTCTATTTTGATTATGCCTTTTCCTTTCAAATATCGATATCGTAGCTGGGAGTACCTAGGTTTTAAGTCTTTAATTTAATTAATAGAAGAACCGATTATTATAAATTTCTAAATTTACAATTAAATACTAAATTATTAAAAGAACTCGATTCTGTCATATCATTACTTGAAAATTGGACGATTTGAATTTTCATTTTTAACCACTCTGAGAAAGGGACATACAACAGAGTANATGACCTTATGATGATGATGATAGAAAATCATATAACAATTTAATGTTATAAAAATGTGGAAGGATTTTCAATTACCGTTTCATACTTTTTGATTCATATTATTATTTCAAATTCATCTTAACAAACAATAATCGCAAAAGTAGAATCACACATATTCGTAATTTTTAGATTTTCCCTTTATATTTTCGACACGACTACCTACATGAGGTGTTGTAGGTACATAGTATTTCATACTTATTTAGTCTCTCAATTTTCCGACTCCTAACAGGAATACGTTTGATATTAATTCTATTTTTATAAAAAAAAAAGTGAACTACGATAAAGTCATACATCTAATTAAATTAGCTTATCGTCATTTCATCACATGATTTACGACATCAGAATATGTTTCTTCAAATATCTATGTGTTGTATTGTACCTATGTACATGACCTGATAGGATGATTTGAATTTCTTCTCATATTTGATTCTTGATAATGGTTTGTACTTTTTCTTATTAATACATTATATTGGTATTACAACTGAAAATGTGTACATGCGCTTATTATACATACATACATAGTACGTAAACTTGACCCTACGGAAGAGATAAAACTTGGGGCACATACACCGAGGTTTACAATATTTCCACTGTAAGAACATATATCTACATGTGTACAATATTAATTTAGCTTATGCGCGTTTTCGTTGATTACATAAAAAGATTTACTTTTTATTTCCAATTAGCAATACTAATTTATAATATTATACGTTGACGTTTTGTTTATTAAGTATAATATTTATATAGAAATTACTTTTTAACTAACGCGAAACGATTATGCAATTCTGTAGAGATTATAAATATTTTTCTTGATTTAACTTATCTTGAAAATTTATCAGTTTATTAATTATTGGTGCAAGTAACGATAAAGGAATTAATTTCATTTGTAGGTACAATATGATCATTGAAAGTAGTAAGTTTCCGGAAATAATGAAAGTCATTGGGAAAATTGTCATATTTTCTTTTAATGCAATAAATAAAAGAAATATTTTGTTAAATTAGTGTTTATGCTTTTAAGTATGTCACAGCCTCAATCCCAGCACGATCTTATCAGAAGAACGATGATCTCAAAGCAAAAGAAAAATAAAAATTTAATTATGTTAATTGCCTTTTCCAGGCTAACTTCAAGGGCCTTCGTTATTTATTATCATACAACACCAATTACTTTATATTGTTAATAACAAGAAGGAAAGATGTCATATTATCTTACAATTGAACACTTTTCAATACATTATAAGACATTTATCCAAAAGGACGCAAATAAGTATTGGAATTTTTTTCAAAAAAGTTAAATTTCATATTTTTCGAAAATTTCAGTAGTAGCTGAAAGATTTAATGATGTATCTGATTCTGCACTAACAAAAAATATTGCAAATAATAATGAAATCGTAAAGCGTGTTAGAAATTGAAAAAAATCAAAAAAGTTTCTAAAAAACGTAACGCAAACTAAACTGTACGAATGAATACGAAATTGATGATGGAGGAAAGCATTATTACAGTGTAGGGGTAAAAAATAAATCAATTTTGTAGGTCAGTTTCATCAACCATATGCCACTATCACCTACTAGTAGGTTTTACTCGTACAACTGATTTTGAAAAACTAAAAAAACGAAATTAAAATTTTACCGAATTAACCTCCCTCGCATTTAACAAACAAAAAAAAAAAGACGGGGGTACCATAATTAATAATGAGTTGGCGTAATCGCGTTTGTCGTCGTTAATCGAAGGCAACCGCGACGCAAAAATGCAATCGCACTAACCCAACCAACAAAAAACGCAACACGTCAACTATGCACACAACAACACAACCTACGATAAATGGTAAAGTAATCTCTGTATATAAAATTTTATCTACTCACCGTACGTACGCTGATAATCGGGCTTTGTTGTCATTATCGGGTGTTATCAACCACTATCAACCGTCAGCTAGTGCACTGCTACGCGATTCAGTAGGGCCGGCGCGCGATCGGCGAGCGAGCGCTTTCTTGCGCGCTCAAAAGCGCTCCCGTTTCGAGGGGTGGGGGGAGGAGGTAATAATGATCATCGCGAAATAGTCGACTATCGTACTTAAGCCTCTTACGGGCCGCGGACGTCGAGTGCGCATACGCACCCCGTTACTTAAGTCGAGCAGAGGCAAGACGCGGCGCGCTCTGGGAGGGATGTACCGCCCGATCGCTTTGCTTTTGTTTGTAATTGTTGAAGAGTAATGCGCTAAAGGAAACCATGGTCCGTGCGCGATTCGACGAAACGAAGATGGTCATGTTTATGATCAACATGGTGGTCGATGGTTGTCGGCGTCCCTCTTGTTATCTTGTCAGTAAATGATCAGCGGTTAGCCGCGAATTTATTTATTCATTGGAAGATAAGACTTGTGCGGCAGTGGTACCTTTACACACTTCCTTGTTTCCATTATTATTCATTAGGGATGTGCGGGTATTCAAAATTTTCAATCACAATAAGAACTTTCGAATCAAATCTACAAAAAAAATCATTTTTTTATGATTCTTGAATGTGGTTCTTTATCTCATTAAAAAAGTATCAAATTTTTTGATTTCCTGATTAATCGATACTTAAATTGTACTTAATAATTATATGTATAGTATGATTATTATTTATGGAATTTATTAAGAAATACGCGAGATAGGTTGGTAAGACACTTTCTCAGGCATGAAGGTCTAGTCTGAGACATATTAGAGGCAGAAACGGAAGTTAGGAGGGGTAGAGGTAGACCTAGATTAGATTACTGTTCGCAAATAGTTACCGATATTGGGTTGTTCTAGTTTCAGGGAAATGCGAAGATTAGCTCAGGATAGGAAACAGTGGAGGTGCGTGTCCGACCAGTCTCAGGACTGACAAACTTATGATTACGATAATGATAATTATTTAAATGAAAAATAAGAATATTATTCATTAACTTTTCCTGAAAAAAAATTGTTTTCATTTATCAATCGAAAATGATAATTAATTTTAGGTTTTCTTTAATTGTAGGGGTAGAAGGGTTGATACCCTTTAGGAATTCTCCTGTGCTATGTGTCTGTTATTTTTATCGATAATAAGATTAAGACATTTCACTTTATCAAATATGAATTAATTCAGGTTGAAATACGTACTACAATAACCAATAGATTAATTCACTCCTTTTTTTATTATTATTAACTTAACATTATAACTTATTGTTGGGAAATAATATTATGCTCGTAAAATACACTTCAATAATATACGTGTATATATCTTCATCACGAGTTATGAAGATGAAATTAATTCTTTTTATCTCTATAGAATAATAAACAATTAGTAAGTACATACAGTATTATCATTAATTTTCAATTTATTCTTAAAAATTTATCGGGCTTTTAGAACTGACGTTTGCCATTTAGATATTGTAATTAATTCATATGTTTCAAATTCGAAAATTTTAAATTAAAATATTTACCCATAAAGTCATACAT